ACCAGAAGCCTACGTTTAAAGGATGTGTAATTCTTGGATGAAGAATTGGACACATTGACTAGGATACCCTCGGCAACCCCTACCTAGACGAAGTAATACAAAAAAATATACGGGATGTGAAAAGCCGATGGCAGAACTAGAACAAAGAAAAAACAGTAAGGATGGAGGAGGATTCACAAAAGTGGATATGCCTACCTTTCTGCGAACTAATCCAAAGACTACGCCCAATACTAAAAAAATGGAATATTCGAGTGGCCATGAAGGAAAAAGCAATACTCTTCATAAGTCTACCTGCGCAACATGAAAAGGTGGACAAATTGGATTGTTCAGGAGTTAACTGCATAGCCTGCGAACAAAAATATATTAGCGAAAAAGGGACTGGACACGAGATCAATTGGAAGGCAACTGAAAGAAAGGCCTCGTATCGTAAAAACACACGAAAGCGGAAGATTAGGGAGGCCATTGACATACGAAGGTAAAAAATCTAATAAACAGGAGTCTAGAGGAAGATAGTTAGCGATAACTTTGCCCACTGCTTAAGCACACTCGGGGAAAACAAGAATACAGCAAGAACAGTAAAACGGAGACGTCTGGATCAAGGATCTATCGTTAACCGGAGGAATAGCGATCGCGATGATAAAATAAGGGGATTTCGGAAATCAAGTGAAGACGTTATCAGTGAGTGATGTCTGTTTCAAATAAACCAGTACAACTTTGGGGGCCTGGCAGTCAGGGAACTAGGCAGACTAATAAGCACAACCGTCACAGAAATTCGGCATTATGACCATAATATACTAGAAATTCACTTGAAATACCACAGATGACCACGGATAGGTGTCCACAGTTGGCTTAGGTTATACGAGTTTACTCAAGGAGACGAACTGTGAAGGTAATGCTTAATATCTGCAAGCATGGGAATAAGGGCCTAGACGCTCTGCTCAGTGAGGCAACAGTGTACGTGTCTCTAAAGGCTTGAAAAGTAGCGTTCGGAGTAAAACATACACTGAGATAGAACCAAGTGGAATCGGTCAACCATAAAGATAAGAAACAGATCTAGGGGACCACGAAGGAGACACGGATAGGAGGCCCGAGTAGGGTTAGCCCATCGAAAGAGAGGGGGCTAAGATGAATAACAGGTGTGATTAAGATCAATTAAACCTGCCAAAAAAGGGCACATATTTTGATGAGTGGAATGCAAACATGTCAGAAGTTGTAACAGGGCGGGAGTTGGATAAGAGTGTAAGGAGTAGATAGATGGGCCAGGACAAAAATAAGAGTGATAGCATAACTGTTTCGGCCGAACATTGGTCGAGGAGTTGACTTCCCTTTTCTCCTTGACGAGTTTATAGCTTGGTGTAGAGGATGGCAAGACTCACTGATGGTGCTGACTACGATGTAGGCGAAACGTCTGAGAATGTACCAAGTCCACAGTCTGATGCTGGAAATTATGATAACTACTATGGCAGAGGACTTCGGACAAGGTGAGTTCAACTAAGTCGCCCTGACAACAAGACTAAGTTGTGCTTATACAACACGACTTAGTCTGTTTGATCCGAACTAAAAGCCCAGCATAAACAAACAAGAGGGTATAAAAATCCAATACTATGTGAATATAATAGTTATGATAAGAATAGATGTAATAGCAATTTGCGAACGATGTTGCAATATTTGTCAGCCATCTCAAAAATGTTGCTTATATCCTGAGGGTTGTGAGAAGTGCATGATTTAGTGCACCGTTGATGAGGGAAATGGATCCCGTACTCGGAGGTCATCTAGAAAGATCGAAAAGAAGATTAACTAAACTTCAACCTACAATCGGTTGTCACTATGACGAGTTGAAACCCAGTCTTAACTTGCATCTCAGTGGCGATGCCGGTGAAACGTTTATAAATTTACCAGGTAAACTGTCCTATATTGAAAATTATCATGATTAATATGGCAAAGGAC